CTGCATTCAATTTACTAAAGACAATTGATTGTTTGTTGCTGCTGTTGCTGTTGTTGCACAAATTGAAAACGATTATCAATATGTTGCACGCTGACAGGCAGGCGGCAGCAGGGGGCACGGTGCCACGGGGGGGCGGTGTTGTGTGAATGCGCGAAAAACTAACAAAAAACAATACAAAAAAAGCAGAGAAATAGAAAAACAAAAGACAAAAACAGAACATACGGGGCGGTGGTCGCAGCGGCAGCGGCAGCCACAGAAAAAAGCCAGCCAGGGCAGAGCCTCCAAACGAGAGACGACTGTGGGGATACCCTCTATGTTGGGCAGACCAAGAGCCAGGGGGGAATAGCCGCTCGAATAGCCAGCGGAGTGGGATTTCTGTGCAGAGTTCTGGCCAAAATGCAGCCCCAAATGAAGGTGCAATCCACGCGATTGCAAGGCACTTTGGTAGATGGAGATAGAATGTGTCTCTAGGATGAATCCCAGAGAGGAAGCAGCTCGATGGGTCCCTGCAAAGAGCAGCAAAGCTCTGGAATTTATTAAATACGAATACTACAGAATTTTCTAGATTTATTTATAGATTTATTTTCGATTCCTTCGAAACTCTGGCGATGCTAAGCGATCTGTCCCCCTCCTTCGGATCACAGGGTATGCCCGGCAAAGCAACAACAAACATTGGGGGCTGACTGATAAATGGCCAACACACACACAAACACAAACACACACACAAACAGACACACACAGACACACAAAAGGCAGGCAAAAGAGCGCCAAACAGCAGGGGCGCTGCATGCAGCAGCCGCAGCAGCAGCAGCAGAGTGTGGCAGGCATCTCATGGGTGCCCTTCAACGCGATGCCCCTCCCTCCCCCCCCATTAACCCATCCCCCCTGCAATTTAGAGAGAGATAGAAAGGGGGGGAGGGCGCTGGGAATGTAAACAAAATGTATCGTAGAATAAATAGTTTTTAAAACCATTCTCCCCCCCAAACCCCAGCCCACACCCCACTCCACCCCCCCGCAGAACAAATGCATTTGAGGAAAAAGTGTGAAAAGTTTTCAACCACCCCACACCCTTACCCCCCATCCCCACCCCCAGCCCCACCTATCCAAAACCAGAGAAAAGAATTTCAAGTAAACAGAAGAGAACTTTCGAGAGCTCCTTTTTAATTCGAATAAACTGCTTGGCGACATGGGGACACGGGAAATGGATGGGAAATGATGATTCCCTAAGTAAATTATAAGAAAATTGTGGATGGACGGACGGATGGACGGATGGATGCTTGAGGCAAACATCAAACAATTGAGTGGAAATGTGGGGGAAAAGCGCGAAGGAGGACGGCACTGGAAGGCGGAATTCTGTGGGTAGAGGCTGAAGATACTCTTCGGGGGACAAAAATGGATTGAAGCTATGGCTTTGGATGTGCCAGGGGATTGTCTTTTCTCGGGGTTCCTCAGCAGCTAATGGAAAGCTCTGCGGAGAGAAAGACACAGAGAGATATCAGTGCTCTTCTATCGATCCTTCTCCCAGCTATCCGTCTACCTATCTATCTTCCCTCGATCTATCTATCTTGTATCTGCAAAGAGCACAAATAACAAAATCCGAAGAGAACGAATGAAGCTTTCATTCCAAGCCACAATCTGAGGCAGCAGGCGGTGGGGGGGGAGGCGGTGGAGGCGTCTCCAAGTCCAACCAACCAACTTTTGGATTGTGTCTCGCTTGGTTTCTTGGGCAATTGAAGAGGAAATTAAACAAGTTTGCCTAACGAAGAAAACGCACAAAGTTTTTTCCAAGAAGCGCGCCTTAAAGTATGCAGCGGCAGGAGGGGGGGGTGGGGGGGCGCCGGCACGAGGGGCGGCAGCGGGAAAAGCTTTTCCAAGAACAGTAAACTTTTCTTTTCTTTTATTATATTTTTTGTTTCTTTCTGCAGAAGCCGGAATCTGCCGCTGCCACTGCCACTGCCACTGTCGCTGCTGCGGGGGAGGGGGAGGGGTCACAGAGCGCGTGGTGGCGGAGGGGGGCGGAGCGGAGGGGCGGCATTGTCACTGCTGCTGCTTCTGCTTCTGCTGCTAAACTTTTTGAATCAATTTAAGTTTTGACATTTTAATGATAAATTTGTAACATGCAGAGAAAAACAAGGGCAGAAGGACACCCCCGCCCCCTCCACCACCCTGCCCCTGGCAGTGTGCCTCTCCTCCTTTGTTATGCCTTCCCCTTGCTGCTAGTGGTGGCTCCCCCTCCCCCTCTCCCGCTCTCTGATGGACTGATGGAGGATTCAGTTTATAAATTGCTCCAAGTGTTTCTCAAGATTCGAAAGGGGTGGCCGAGCGAGGGGGGGGAGGGGCTGCGGCGAGAGTTGCTCATGAAGTGACTTTGGACTGAAATGAAGTTCGAGCTCACGAAGAGAGGGGGCGAGGGCTGGCGAGGGGAGGAGAGGGGAGCGTGCTGGTGCTGAAGCTGAAGAAGGGGTTCGAAAATTGATAAAAGTATGTTTGGAAGTGAAAGCAACTTCGATTTATGTGACTTTTCACACACTTTCTCTCTCTCTTCTCTCTCTGTCTCTGTGATTTGTTGAATGTTTAAGGACGTGAAATTGATCAATGAATGGGAATATTTGTACTTTTAAAAGTTATTTGTTGGAGATTTCACTCTTTAGTGTTGGAATATCCACTCTGGAGGATAACGGGGAAGTTTTCAGCACATTTTCAGCATCAAATGTAACTAAATTTCGTTGTATCTTTGGTTTTTCGGATTCTGTAACAATTCAGTATATCAATTCGAAAGTTCTGTAAGGTTTTCCTGAAAATGCGTCTTTTGTATCTCAATAAATGGGATCTGTTCGGAGGAACAGAGAAACAACAGAGCGCTGTTAGCACAACAGAGCGCTAACAGCCAGCCTGTTATCGCTCTCTCTGCTATCCCGCTCTCCGTTAAACCGTTCTCTCAGAGCGGTCTCGCTTTCACGATCCCCTTGGCTCTCGGGCGGCCCAAGATGTATTGAGTAATCAGGCGACGTCGTGCGCTGAGCCGAGGACCATCTCCTCTCGCTCGGCTCTCTTACGTTCTGCACGCTTCCACGCATACCGACAGTCGGATGGACCCTCGAAAGAGAGCAGATGTGACGTCCATCTCGGGGCGGCCTTCGACTACCCCTTTGCAACTGGTGACTCCTCAACGATCCTCCCTACAGTCAAGATCTGTGGGTGGAAGGATCCTCTCACATTCCGAACCCATCTCTTACCTCTATACTCTGAACGTCTCCCTTCCTCCAGAAGTGCCAGCCATTCAAAGTCCCATTCCGGCGCTCGCTTCTGTTATCTCGAACACATGTGCCGTGGCGCAGTGCCTGTTTATCGTGGATAGAACATCATGACAAACATTGGCCATCTAAAACTCATTATTGACTCATTTTGTCGGCCCATAAAGCGCCCAGAAGTATGTTGTCTTTATTTTTTTCGGTTGACAGCCGCAACAGCCAGGCATTTCCAATTAAGCCCCGGAGCCAGAACCCCCTCCCCCCGAGCCCTCCCAAATACGTGAGGATTTGTATCTGCCATCTCTCTCTGTGTGCGTGTGTGTGTGTGTGTGTGCATTTGGGGCCATTAAGACCTCTGTAAACTGCGGCAGGCATATGCAGTTAATGGCTAAACACACACACACAAGCACACAGATGGATAGATAGATATACAGACCGCCCCTCCTCAGATACATTTGTATCTTGAGAGCCGTGCGGCGTGCGTTGAGCGTCGTGTGACGCATGTCGTGTGTATGATTTCCCATTTGCCATTTGCGGCTTTTGACAATTTGTCGCTTTATTTGCAGAGCAGCAGCTCTGTTCTGCTCAGCTCTGTTTGTTTGTTTGTTTGCATTCCATTCGAGATGTTCGGACAAACAAATTGACGAAATGTCTGTCCTTCTGTCCTTCCGTCCATCTTTGGCTCTGCCTCTGGGCTCTGGCCTCAGTGGGCTCTCGCTCAGTGCATCTCGAAGATAAACATCCAAGAAATCAACATTTCTTAATGTCCTTTGGAAGCAATTTCAATTTCAATTCCAACTCCAACTCGAGACTCGAGACTCGAGCGGCGAAATACGAGCACAAACAAATGTCATCATCAATTAGTTGTGATAGCGATTATCGATTCGTGTTCCATGCGCCCCGCCCCGCCCCGCCCACTCCCCTCCGCATCGCAAAAAGTGCTGATAAGCAAAGGTGCCACATGCCGCCAGAGGTGCAACCGGGAATTTATGTTGCAAATTGAAATTGGAGAAGCAAACAGAATTTATAGGCATCGTAATGGGCGACGTCCACTGCGAGTCCCAATTTATGCGATTTTCGTTGGGAGTTTTGTAATTTTTGACCCAAAAACCCAATGAAATGGATTGGACGAGGGTTTGACCAGCGGAATATCTCTGCAGTAGAGGCATCGTAGGGTCGAGGCACGTGTGCTCCATGTTCCATTCCGGCATTCCCCTGAGTAGAATGTGAAGCTCGACGCTCCTTCAATCCTCTTTCGGGCTATCCGTCGCCCACTCTCGGCCTGCTCGGGCCCTGTCATGCCCAAGTCATGCAATTTGTTGGTTTTGAACCCTTTGCGAGTGCGCGGGGGTCAGCGACTGCCCGGATCGAAGGGTATATGGACTCTGCGCCTTTGTATTTGTAGGCAGGGATTCAGTAGCCAGGGGTCGGCGGTCAATGACGAAGCATAAAGGAAAACACCTTGGGATTGGGATTGGAATGGTATGGGGTCTCTGGATGGACAGAATTGAGTGTCTGTCCGCCCAAACAGAAGTTCGATTCGATTCCCCCGCCCCCCTATGTACACGTACTAGCCCTAGAATCCATTCTATATCTATTTCTATATCTGTTTTGGCCCACTAATGAAAAGTCAACAGGGAAAAGGCCCGTTCCATGGGCTATTGTTGGGGCATTTGTGGCTGAATGTTGACACAACCGATAGACAATTATTTATTTATAATGTTTTTCCACTTCTTTGCGGTCTTGCAGATAAGACGCGACCCACTGGAGCCCCCTGGAGCCCCGACTGGAGCCCCGACTGGAACCCCGACTGCAGCCCCGACTGGAAGACTGGAAGAAGGGCCCAGCGGCAGCGGCAGTCAATGTCTGATTGTGTGTGAAAACTGGGCGGAGAACTGGGTGTCGTCTCGCCTCTATGACTGATAATAATGCCATTCGAATACTGCAACGACTGCCCGCCAGAAGAGAGCTGCCACGACAACAACAACAACAACAACAACAACAAGAACAGGAAGAAGAGCTGCCCCCACATGCCACGTGCCACACAATGGCCATGCCACAAAATGAGTATTTGAAAATCAGGAAACATATCAAATGGCGAAAGTGAAGAAAGCACAGAAATAGCAGCAGATCCAGCAGATACTGGAGAGAGAGAGAGAGAGAGAGCAATATATATATATAGAATACATAGGAAAATACCAATTTTTTTTGTTCCGGAAAGAGGAAAAGCTCAGAAAAGCCTGTGCCATAAACGGGAACTTCTATTTTGATAATTATTGAAATAAACACAAGAGACACGAGACACGAGACACACACGAGACATATCCCTGAAAAAAGGAAGAAAACGCTGCCAATTATAGCGATATACAAGGAGAGAGAGAGAGCGAGAGCAAGAGAGAGAGAGAGAGATTTACACGCAGATATAACCACCGATTGACAGCAGCAATAGCTATATATCCCTGCCTCCTCCCCCCAGCAACAATATGACAATATCATCTGGAGAGACAACAGCCACAGCCACAGCCACAGCGAGAGCTACAGCCACGGCGAGAGGCGCCACCACGAATATACATCATGCAACAGCCATAAATCGCAACAAATATGAAAAACTCATTACCAAGCCGCGGTCGCAGGATGCAATCGCGGAAACGGAAACCAATGGAAGTGCCTCCGCCACCGCCACCGCCACCGCCACTCCCGCTCCCATTGGAGCCACTACAGATCGCACAATGCTATTGCCTTTGGAGGACACAAACGCCGCCGCCGGCATTGTCACGTACAAACAGAAATCGAATGGGAGTGCCAGTGGGAGTGCGAGTGGGCATGGCAATGGGCACATCAACAGCAGCGGCAGCGGCAGCGGCAGCACCTCTTGCAGCACCTCGTCATCGACGTCAATTGGCATCAGCAGCAGCGGCAGTGGCAGCGGTGGCAGCCACCTAGGGGCAGGCTCTTCCTATTCCATGGGATGGACGTGCCATTGTTGCAATTTAATTGCACGGCGCTGCTTCGGCATCAACGTGCGGCGGTGTGTTTTGGCCCTGCTCGCCATCACAATGGTTACGATATTCTACTACACGCATTACGTCGATACGGACGTATTTAATGGGTGAGTACAACAGCCACAACAGGCCACAGGGAGGGCGGGGGAAAGCGGGGGCAAGCCTCTGCCTTGTTCCCTCCGCTCTTCTTTTTTGCCCTCCCCCCCTTTTTCGGGGGCTATTTCCAGCGGTATTTTCATTGTGTGCTCAAGTGGTGAAAATGCACTTGATGTCTGCTCCTCCCTCCTCCCCCCCTCTCGATCCCGCCTCTTGCCCCATTGTTTGCTGTGCGAAATCTGTGGCGAGGGCAGCAGCAGCGGCAGCGTTTTGTTCCCTGTTTGATTGGATCCCTATTCTCCCTCCTCCTCCTCCTCCTCTTCTGTTGGTTTTGCCAGGGGGCAGGCACGAGGCCACGCGGCATGGGGCATGGAAAATATGCTGGAAATTGAATCAAATTCGGGCGGAAAATCAGGTGCCAGCGAACGTTAATCGGGAAATTCGTTGCCTAATGATGGAAAAGCTCATTCTCGAATCCAAGAGGAAACCCCCCTCTCCCCCCGGCAGCGACTTTTTTCAATGGGTTTTTCTCTTGAAAGTTTTTCAATGTTTTCGGCGGCGCCTCGGAAAGCGGAAAGTTTTTCGCCTGCGAAAATCGGCGTGGAAATCATCAACAGATTTCTCTACGGCTTGCCACCAAAAGAAAGGACACAATTTTCCGCTATCGTTCGACAAGTTGCAGCCACAGCCGCAGCACAGTGCCACAGCACAGTGCCACTGCCACAGCCACTGCCACAGCCACTTCTATCGACGACATCGTGTGCCACACGCCACACGCCACACTTTTGCTTTGCTTCAACACCTTTTTCTGTGGCTCACAGGAGAACTCCTGGCGCTGGCTCTGGCTCTGGCTCTGCCCCTGGTCTCGGGTGGGGTTTGCCCCCTCTGTTGCCCCCCTTTGGCTCCTGCTTCACGACATACTCGAAAATAAAACTCATTTCGGTGTGGCGCCATGGCATTTCCTTCGGCGCTGAAGTGGCACTCGAACGGGGGGAATAGGGGGGTGTATGGGGGGGAAATATTGCTCATAATTGTGAGCGCTTTTCCTCGTAGTTTTCCCTGCCACGTGTGTGTGTGTGGGTGTGTGTGTGGGTGCTCTTTTCGGTGATTATTGTGCGAGTTGCTGGAATTTTCTTTTATACATTAAATTTTTCGCATGAAATTTTTGCCAGCAAACGAGAGGCCAGTGGCTGTGGCGGGGGCGGGGGCAGGGGCAGGTGCCCCACCTTTTGCTTTCGGCTACTTCTGCCGCGCAATTATGGTTTACAAACACATTTCGCCAGCGAGCAAACGGTTTCCGGCTGCAGTTGCACAAACAACGGGGGCGAAAGTTCTCCCTACCTCCCTCCCTCCCTTCTTTCTTTTTTCTCTCGTTTTCCTTTTCATCAGCAGAAGCGGCATCCAGGGAGGAGCCGAGAGGTGCAGGTGCCTGGAGGTGCAGCAGTCCTTTGTTTTCCTCCTGCCACACGCAACACAGGGCCCCCCCCCCCCCCCTCCCCCAACGATCCGAGGATCCAAGGTTCCGAAATGTTCCTTCCTTGCACTTCACTCGGCATTCCCTCCGAGCTGATTATTAAATATTTATGTTTGGGCTTTGGCTTTGGATTCGGCTTCGGCCAGCACTTTGGAATTTAATTTACGGACTCTGAGAACTGTGGCAAAGTTCATTAGTTTGGAGGCTAAGTGGTTGACCGACCGACGGACAGACCAACCGACCGACCAACCGACCGACCATCAATCAAGGCATACGTATATCCTTATAAGCGTATCCTTATGGCTCTCGAAATATGGTGAATTTTAATGAATTCAGAGACGGCCCCAGGACTCGAGAATGATTGTTGCATGCCACTGGCCGGACTGCCGCCTGCACTGCATGATGCGTGATGCGTGTGCGCGTGTGTGTGCGCGTGTGTGTGTGTGTGTGCGGCTGAGTGTCTGTGTTTCCGGTGCTCCTTGTGGCCATCCGTCCGTTATGTAGGAAAAGGCGGAAGCAAGTGACGTGCCACTCCTCTTTTTGGAGTGTTTTACCTTTGGGCTGTACGGCTGTACGGCTGTATGGCTCTACGGCTGTACGGCTGACGCTTCTCCTGGCCGTGCTCCGCCCCTCCCCTGGCTGTGGTTGCCCCTGTGGCCAAATATGCCAGCCAGAGAGCGGGAGGGAGCGAGAGAAAGGGGCTCTGATGTGCTGCGTGTTTGTTTATGTCGTCTGTCATTATTTGCACGCACACACTGGCACTCACACACACACACTCGCACACACACACACGCCACTGCTCGGAGTAATTGCACACACACGCATATGCCTAACCGTAAATGCATTTGTTGTTGTTGTTGTTTCTGGTATTTCTGGTGCTGCTGTTTCCCCCCCTCCCTCTCCACCTCGTCTCTCCCCCTCCTCTCCTGCTTTTGTAGGTGCAAAACGCATTTTGACAAAATGCAAACGTACGTGATTTGCATGCAGAGTGACTGACAGATGGACAGACAGGGAGAGAGGGAGAGAGGCAGAAGGAGCACATTATTTGAACGGATAACTAGGTGGATCGCTTGTTTGAATACCCTAGAACATACAGGGTGCATACAGGGTGGTCACCGACAAACTAAACTAATCTGGACTCCCTCTAACGTGGCATCCACAGTTGCAGAGCAGCGTCTGGCAGATTGCCGAATGAAGCCCGAATCAACAAAGCTCCCTCTCTCATTCACTCGCTCTTCCTGGTGCAGTGAGCACCCTCTGGCGTAGAAGAGCCATACTCGCTGGGTATGGAGTCGCGGCTCTAGCGTCTGGTGTCTTGAATCGATTCCTCCTCTGAAAGATATATCCCGTGCGATTGTTGTTCAGTGTCTCGTCTCCTTGGTCAGTTCTAGCTTGTTCCTAGCGTCTGTCTATCCCATTGCTGTACTCGCTTAAGAGAGAGAGCGGGACACTCGCTCAGAGAGGATCGCAAGAAACGAGTACAACGAGAGCGTGCTCCTGTGTAACGGCGAGGCGAGTGTGGGCAAGTCGAGAGTGACAGATAAATGGGAAAAGCGTCGCAGAGAATGATTCTCCTGGAGCTGTGGCACTGGCAACGCTTTGAGAGGGCAGTTGCCTTTGAGAGTAATACGATCTTGTCTCAAGAGTAATATACATAATTCATACAGCAGATAAAAAGGGTCTGTGATTAGCTTAACAACTTAATATTTTTGGTAAACTCTCCTTTGGTTCATCATCGTCATACCTCCAGGGACTCCAGGGTATGCAAATCAAGATACATAGACAGAGAAGGAGAGAGAGAGAGAGAGGGAGAGCTGACAGGAAAGAGATGGACGGATAAACTGACAGAAACAACACGCTCGCATCGCACCACAAACCCTTTCTGGCCCTCTCTGGCGCTCTCTGGCCCTCTCTGGCCCTCTCGCCTGTCGCCTGTCGCTTGGGACGAGTGCAATAATTGATTTGTAATGCAAAAACCTGACAAAACAGAACACACACACACAGATACACACACACACACACACAGAGCGAGTGTGCGGCAATTTGTATGCATTTTTCAGTAGCTTGTAATTCTCTAATTCTGCATTTTAATTGAGTGTCAGATTATGTCAGAATGTATGCAACGAGTGTGCTTTTAGGGGGTGGGGGTGGGTGTGGGTGGGGGGAAACATACGAAAAAACAATTACGAATAAACAATTACGAATAAAGTGATTTTCCCTCGTTTCTTTTTTAAGGCGGACTGTCGTGTGTCCTTTATCCTTTATCCTTATTTATGCGCTAATTGCCAGCGACAGTTTATTCGATTTGCAGGACAACAACGCTTTCGACTATCTTGTCGCCTGTCACCGGCGTAAGGGAAGGGGGAGGGGGGCAAGGGGGGGCCACACACACACGAAAATCCACTCCGCTGTCACTTTTGGAGCTGGGACTGCTCTCCCCTTTCTTTTTTTTTGGCGGCTTTGGGGGTGGGGCAGGACATTATTTGCTTTGCGTGAGGAGTGCGATAAATGCAATTTGATGTTTCCGCGGGGGGCGGGAGTGGGCGGGCAGGGAGGTGGTAATAAACAGAAACTAAAACCGAAACTAAATCCAAAACGCCGCCATCGGGCGCCACCGGGCGATAATCAACACAGAAATCGCTGCCAGGCGCGTGGCATGTGGCATGTGGCATGTGGCACGTACGTACTCACTGATGCTCGCGTGCATTAATTGACTAAATATTTTTAATTGAAAATGCGATTATAAATGAGCGATGGCCTGTCCCGTGTCCCCCGTGTCCCCCGTGTCCCCCATGTCCCCCGTGCCCCCCTGTCCCGAGTGTCCTGTGCATCCCCTGTGTCCTCTGTGCGTGTGGGCTTTTATTTTAATATTTTTCCCTTCTCTTGAAATGTGATTACATATGCGTACGCGAGTATTTGCACACAAATCCGTTCTGGCCATAAGGCTCTGTGGATCCCACTCAAGGACTCCGCGATGTCCTGCCACTGCTGACCGGTGGCCGCTGGCCGCGTGCTCCATGCTGTTCCGCCTGTCGGCGAGTGCTGCGAAATGCAATAAATAATTACATTTATTTGCTTTAAATGCAATTACAAACAAACAAACAAACAAACAGAGGGACAAACAGAGGGACAGACACGACAGTCGCTGGGAGAGGCTTCCTCTGCCATGCTCCCCCACTCCCCACCCCCCTCCCGTTCACAGTTCATTTGCCAGAGTCCCGAGTCCCGAGTCCCGAGTCCTGCTCCTGGCAGACACTCTGGCGTCCTGCCCCTGTCGCTGGCCTTTCCTCTGACATTTTCCCACTCATTTCCCGGCTGCAATTCAATTGAACTTGGCTTGATTTATTTAATTAAGTTTTTTCCCTCGTTTTGTTGCCGTCGAGTCGCCGTCTCGGCCTCCTCTGCCCCCTCTGCCCCCCCCGGCCGCCGCTGCCACTTTTGTTGCTGCTTTTCCCTGACGACCACCGCAATCGGCGGATCCGTTTGGAGTCGTTGAGTCGCTTGTCGGGAGTCTTTATTTCAAGTGTTTTCCCTCGCCCCCCCCCCCCGTGCCCGCTCTCTGCAGCTTTCATTGTTCTTAAGTGGCCGTTGCCCGGGAAATTCTTCTCTTCTGTCGAGTGGAAATATGCGCCGCTGCCGAGCGAAGGAACAAAAGGATTGCGGATTGAAGCAATATTGTGGCATCGGCGCGGCATCGGCACGGCATCAGTTCTTATTAAAGTTTTTAATGCCAAAAACCAAAGGAAATGCGGCTTCTGCTTCTGCGGCTGCGGCGGCTGCGGCGGCTGTGGCATGCCACTGACACATTGACAAGCGATTCGGGGCAGCTGCAGTTTTCCACTGAATTTCGAGGCTTAGTTGCTTCCCCCCCTCCCTAAAGCTCTCTCTCTTTGCTTAGTTCTCCCCCTCTGCCGCTCCCCCTGCTCCTCCCTTTGCTCTTCTCATTTTCCAGCATTTTCCGGCTCCGCAAATGTTTAAGTGGCCGCCGCTTTGTCTTCGTTTCGTTTGCTTTTTGTATTTGCATTTTGCACCCCAGAAAGGTCCGAAGTGGGCCACGCCCACCCGTCCCCGAAATGCATGGAAAAAGTAGGTTTTCCCCACCCCCAGAAATAGTACAGTCTCTCGCTTTTTTTTTGGTATTTGTTTTATTCCTTTTTTTGGGGCAAGAAAATTGTTTTTTTTTTTTCGTCCTTAGATATCATATTTTTCTATATGCCATATCCTTGTGCTAGATTCGCATTTTATTATGCCCTTCCTGGGCCGGGGGGGCCGGGGGGCTGGCTGGGCGCCCTGCATTACGTATGCGCCCCGTTTTGTGGCAAGCGGCTGCCGCCTCTGGTGGCTGGCTGCATGCATTTGCTACTTTGCAAATTTATTACAAATTTTTACATACGATTTATTGTCTGAGCGCGTGCAAGGCAGCAGCGGCCTGCCCAGTGGGCGGCGGGCGGGGGGCGACGGGCGGCTCTTCGCGGAGAAGGAAAATCTAGGGAAATCCCCGCCTCCGGGCTCCCCGCCTCCCGGGCTCTTGAGTCGCGCTGCGGCGACTTTATGCGCTCACGGATTCAATAAAACCGCCTCCCGCGTGTCATGTCTTCAGCGCTGACTAATAAGCCTTGGCCATGCCACCACGCTCATGGCCGTGCCCCACTTGGCTGCCCCTGCCACGCTGCGAGCGAGAGAGAGAGAGAGAGACGGGGAGAGAGTGAGCTGTTGGCCAAGTTTGTTGCACGCCCGCATAAATAACACGTCGCAAATGCATAAACTGACTTTTTGTTGCCTAATTTATGCAGCAACAAAAGACGAAACTTTCCGAACCGAGAGAAGCCTTCGCTTGTAGTCCTTGCCCCTGCCCCTGCCCCTGCCTCCTGCCTCCATCCTGGCTGCTTGACTCCGCTTCTCCTTCGCTGCAGAACGGAAACGGAAATTTTGTGCTGTGCACAAATAAATCAGCGAACTGAGGCCCCGGCCAGGTTGCATGCCTCACTGGCTCACTGCCTGCCTGCCTGCCTGCCTGTTTGCCCGAGAGTTGCCGCCCCGCAAATGTTGCACGAAATGCAAACAAGACACAGCGGAGGAGTGGAAGGAGGAGGAGGAGCAGGCGGAGGAGCAGCTCAACAAAATTTCTTCATCATCCTTGCAGCAAGGGGCACGGCACGCGTGGCATCAGAACTTTTCTCCGTTTGCTGATGGGCCAGGAAAATGTCCTGCAGTTTGTGGCAAAAATTAGAAACGGTGAAGCCTTTCTTGGCAGGGAATCCTTGGGGATTCCGTGGAGCCAAAGAGGAAGAGGAGGTCAGAGCAAAGAAAAGCAAAAAGCGTTGCTTTCCATCAAAGATTCCACCTCGAATCGATACCGACAAGGAAAGCGGTGCCACGCGTCTTGCGGCAGCGCCCCTCGGTTGGGTTCGCATTCCAAGCTACCTTTTGGTGGGTAATACTTGTCCATGCCCCAAATAGATGCCTCCGTCTTTCGGCCCTGCCTCGTGGACCCTTTTTCGGGGGGCAATTCCGTCGCTGAGGCAAGAACTTATACGCTCCTTATTTATGGCTTATGTTTTTTTGATTTTGCAGCGGGCATTCTCCCACATTATATCCTGCACTTTGCCCCCTCCCCTCCCCTCCCCCCCCCTCTCTCGTGTTTATGGGGCATTCATTCAGGGCCGAAAAAAGAGGAGAGAATAAACTTTTTGGGACCTGGTCTTGGGGGCTCTTCTTTCCTCTTTCCTATTTCCATTTCCATTTCTATTTGGATTTGTTACAGTGTGCGCCACGAGTGTATGTCCGTCTCCGTCTCTGCCTTTGGAGGAGGTACGAGTGTGTGTGTGTGTTGGTGTGTTGCTGCTATCTAAATATTTTGTTTTGGCAGTGCAAAAGTTTTGCCAGAGTCCGTTTTTCCCTTTGCCTGCCGCAAAGCAGAGCAGAGCAGAGCAGAGAAGGTCCTTGCCGGAGCCCCTCCCGCGCACGATTTTGTAATGCAAAAAGTATTTACATTTGCCCAACGAGCACTGGGAGCAGGAGAAGGAGAGAGTCCTGGCGGCATGCATGGCCTGGATGTCCTGCACGGACTGGCTGGCGCTTTCTCTGCTTTCTCTGCGCCTTGCTTCGGGATTTCGGGGCTTGGCCTAATAGGTTTTTGTTAATTTTAGGGATTTCGCCTTGAAAGGCGCTGCAAAAAGGGTTCCAGCACACAGGCAGGCAGGATGTTGCTGCTTGATTCAAGGACTCTCGGCCCCTGCCGCCGCTCCTGCCGCCGCTCCTGCTGCAATCTAATGTACTGCATGGCCCCGAAAGGTCGGCCCAAAGGTCGGACGGCAGGAAGTTGCAAGGATATGTGGAAATTGCATAAGCTTTATAATAAAATGCTTTGCTCCTTGCCAGCAAGGAGCAGCAGAAAGGATAAGAAAGGAGCGGCAAGCAGGGGAAGGGGCAGCAAGGGCGGGGGCAGCAGTGGCAGTGGAAGTTGCAGGTGAAACTATGATAAAATCGAAACACAAAAACTTGCCCAGGTCAAAGGTGTCTCTCTGTCTCCCTCTCTCTTTATCTGTCTCTCTCTTGTGAAACTTTTCCACTCGTGAAGGCGGGGCAGAGGGGCAGGACACACAAATTCACATTAGAGACGGAGAGGGGGGGGGGGATAGGGGGGCAAAGGGGGTGGGGAGTGGGAGGTGTGGCACGTTTTGCAGGTCGTTTCGTTGGTTTGTTAATGAGAGACGAGGCCGCCTGGCTGTTGTCCTTTAAAGGACACCCAAATGAAGATACATGTGAGACGGGGCGTCTGTGTGTGTGTGTGTGTGTGTGTGTGTGTGCGCGGTGTATCCTGTATCCTGTATCCTGTATCCTGTAGCCTGCGTCTTGGTTGAACAGCAGATGGTCTTGGCTTTTATCTTGCGGCAAACAGTGGCAGGAGCGACAGGAGGAGCAGCAGGAGCTGCCACTTCGCTAACGACAGCGCGCGGCAGCCGTTACATTGTGGTGTGGCATGTGGCATATTACGCATACGCAACGTGTTGTCGCGTATCTCAATTTGTGGCAACCTCCCCGCTCCCCACTCCTCGCCCCTCGCTCTTTGCTACTTCATTTTTGGCCGTGTGCGTCACTCCCCCCGCCCTCTCACTCCCCTCTCGCAGCAAATACAACAAATGAATGCCTCTGGCTGTGGCTCCTCCTCGTTCCTCCTCCGCCAAACGAAGGAGCTCTGGCGGAAACTCCTTTGATGCCACTAAATGTTGCACCACCCCCCACTCTATTCATGCATCCGAAAGCGGGATGCGGGATAGCCCAGGATCTACCTCCCCCCCCCACCGCCCTCCAGTGCCCATAACGTGTCTAATCCTCCCGTTTTGCTTGTTCCTTTGCAGCCTCATCCAGCGGGACACCCACCCGGCGCCGATCATCCACTGCCGCATGCTGAGCGCCGCGGGGAAGCACGTGCGGGACGCCTCGCCGGCGCCCGACCACCGCTCGGAGGCGCGGCTCCGCATCGATCCCAAGGTCCTGGTCTTCGTGGAGACCACCTACTCGGGCCTGGGCCGGGACATAGCCGAGCTGCTGGTCTACAATCGGATCAAGTGAGTGGAACCCAGCCCCACAAGTGCTTCTTGCCCCTCAAAATGGTTGCATAATTGGCAAAGAGGCGGCAAAGAGGCGGCAAAGAGGCGGCGATGCAGCGACTCGACGATAATTATTGCTACACTTCCGGGGAAATGGCAGTGCAAGTGCCAGTGCCAGTGGAGGTGGCAGACTGCCCCACAAAATGAATGGCAAGTGGCTGGCCCCCTCCCTGTCGCTGCCCCTGCCCCTGCCCCTCCCCCTGCGTCTGCCAGGAGAGCACTGACTGGCGCCTGGCCATTGTCAATGTTGACCCAATTTGGTTAGTTGGCCATAAAAAGGCAGGTTATGAAATTAATGCCAGGCCCTAGATGGGACTCCATTCTATCCATTCTGTCGTCCTGTGTCTGCGAGCGGGAGGGGAGGACAGGGCAGGGCAGGGGAGGCCGAGTGCCGCAGGGAGGCAGATACAGAGGAGAGATTGTGGTGCTGCTGCTGCTGCAGCGGGGCAGCAAAGCATTCCAGTTTAATTGGCAACTTATGCTTTTGTGGTCGAGTGCCTCGTCTGTCTGTCTGTCCCTCCCCTCTCTCCCTCCTGGCATATCCATCTCCAAAGCCAGCCCCATGCCAGCTCAGGCGGAAGTCTCGTTTTCTCTGGCTGCTCACCTGCTGCTGGCCCCCATTTCCTGGCTGTCTGCCTCACTTCTGGCCAAGTCAGCAGTTTTTCCATCTGGCAACAAAGTCCCCGTCCTCGGAGGCACTGAATGTAATCCGTCTGGCGGCAGGGAGGGCGCCTGGCTGGGCCCCCGCCATTCTTGAAGGGTATTAGAAATTCCTCGTATCTTTTGAAGAGGGATCCGTCTTCCTTCCTGCCTTCGAGCCTGCCTTCCTGCCCTCACACACATAAAGAGAGCCCTGGCTGCCCTGCAGTCCTGCCATCCGGGGAGGATATGCCTTTGTGATTCCGCTCTGGAGATGTGTCTCTCCCCCCGCCCCCCTCTGTGGCTCTGTGGAGGTGTGAGCCTCCTCCTCCTTCGACCCCGCCCAATTGGTTAACCGCAGGATGACCGCAGGATGTTCATGCAGCCTCCGTTTCCGGCCCCGCCCCCTCCGCCGCCCCCGCCTGCACAAATAACCGCAATTATTATGCCAGCTGCACTTTGCAGCTCTCTGCGGGGGCGTGTCGGCCGGGGGGTGGGGCATGCCGCCACAAGAGACGCCCGGCCAGGACGGGGGGGCCGGGAGGGCCGGGGAGTCGAAACGTGTGGCTAAAACTTTTTTGCTTCACACTTTTTTTGGTTTTTCTTTTGGTTTTTTTCTTCTTAATTTCTGCTTTAATAAAAAAAAGGCACAAAAATGAAGGACATGCATGTGGAATCCTGTGGCAGAGGCAAGAAAATAGTCTCGGGCCGCAGCCGGGAGGAGACCCAGCCGGGGAGGGGGGGGGGGGGGGCATGCCACAAGGACGATCCCTGCCGAACGGAGAAGAAGTCGAAAAGGCAAAAATTTCAATTTGCCGCAGCTTTTGTTGATGTTGTTTGCTGCCTGCCCCTCTAACCACCCCCCTTCCCTTCCCTCTCCTCCCCTCTGCTCTCCTCTCGTCTCCTTCTGCTGGTGGCTCGTCCTTTTGCCTCGTTTTCGGCTTTTGTGTTGTATAATTAAATTTTGTCGTTATGGCAAAGGGGCAGGAGGGCAGGGCAGGGGGGGGGGCACAAACTAGCAATGACAGCCCCCCCAAACCCCTATCGCTGGAGCGCCCTCTCCTTCAGCAGCAGACAAGTGCTTCAACTTTAATGAGATTTCAAGTACAAATAGCAGCAGCGGCAGCGGCAGCACACAGCAATGGCATTCAGTCAGTCGTAGCAGATTGTCCCCCACTTCACTCCATCCCCCCCCCTTAGCTTCCTCCTGGAGCCCTCCTTCCTGCTGCTGAGTAATGCCAGGACATTGTCTCTCTCGCGCAGCAGCAGCAGCAGCCGCCCAAATATGCAGGCGAATGACTCTTATGACCTAATCAACTCTTGGTTATAGATGCCTCTCTCTCTGACCGTGTGGCAGGAGCATCTGCTGTGTGTCTGTGTGTGTCCTGATGAATGCTTTCCCTTTACATGAATGCCTGCCTTCTGTTTCTGCTGCTGCTTCTGCTGCTGCTGTTGTTGTGTGCTTATCAATGACTTCATTAGTGGCAGCAGGGAGACTCCTTCTTCACTGGGGCGCACCCTTCGAACCCCGAACCCCGCCATCCCCCAACCGATGCGATCCTTTGGCGTGGCAACAAATTTCATTAACATTACCATCTCATTACCTCTGTGTGTGTGTCTGCGAGAGAAATTTAGTTGAAGTTTCGCTGCAACACAAGCCTGGAGGTATCTGCCATGCACTCCGACCCCCCTCCACCCCTCCACCCCTGCACCCCATGCAGGGGCCACATGTGCCAGAGGGCGGGGGGCAATCAAAGTTGTCGCTGAAAACACAGACAGACATCAAGGGCGTGGGCTGCCATGGCAGCAGCAGCAGCGGCACCAACCAAATATTGTTAAGCGTTTCCATAGGACCATTTGTATCTGTATCTGTATCTGTATCTTTAGCTGTAGCTGTATCCGTGTGTGCGGGCGTGTGTGGCAGGTGCATTTCCCTTTATAACTTTTTCATGAATCGCAACTTTCCACAGGAGTCTCTGGGTCTCCCATCTGCAGCTCTCGAGCTTTGCCAGGCGCCCATTATCAATTATTTATGAGCCGAAGAGACATCCCCCTCCCCCGGCACCCTCCTCCTCCCCCTCCTCCTCATTGCTCCCAAGTTGCCACTCAATTAGCCATGAAATATGCTCGACTCCATCGACTTTTTGCACTGTCACACGTGGCGTATGCGTAATGTCTGTGGGCTGGCAGCCCATGTGGCATGCCGTGGCACACACGATTCTGATGGCATCCAAGAGATTCCTTCGAGCAGACGAATAATCGAGAGATTATCCGGAGTTTTCCTTCCTTTGGTTGTTGGAAGATATCCTCCCAGTTTTCTCATCTCTCTCCTTCTGGCGCTCCTTTTGGCCGCTTCTTTGCTCGCTTAGACGCTCCAATTAGCCGCCAGTTCATGCTTTCGGCCAATTGATTGATTGCCAGCTTACGAGGGACCCAGTGGCCCCGAAGTGGACGAATGGCGGGGGAGCGGGGGGGGCCAAACGTTGCACATACAAATCGACTGCCAAGAGTCGCCGCCGCTGCCGCCGCCAGGAAGTATGCAAAGTTTTTGGCCAAAGTTTTTCCGGCCGAATTGGCCGCCATTTGTGTCCTGGCCAGCCTCCAAACGGGAAAGGGGGTGGGGGGGGGGGGGGGGGGGGCAGAGGCGGAACAAGCATTAACACAACCAAAAACTTGTTCTGCCACTTTTGGCGGCAGTGGCAGTGGCACGGGGGCAGTGGCACAGTGGCAGCGCCATCTAATGCGCCGTGAAATTCTAATGAAATTTTCTTAGGTAATTACGCGGCCCCAAAGCGGCCTCCCCTAGCCTCCCCCCCTGCCCACACACACACGCAAGTCGTTTATTAAATCGCCATTTATATTGTGCAATGGGGGGGAAGGGGGTGGGGCATGCCACGCCCCTCGCGTGCATTATGCGCGTAATAGCTACTTAACCTTATTTTCAATTTTTGATTCGGCTTTTTGTGCCCTGCCGCCAATCGCTGTGGCATCAGTCAGTGGCAGCGGCATCGGTGGCATCGGTGGCATCAGCATTAGTCAGTGGCGCGGCATGAAGTCAAGCGGCAGGCAGCAGGCGGCAGGCAGCGAGGCAGGACACGGAAGTCATCAGCAGCCTTGTTATCGTGGCACGGCATGGCATTGCCCTCCCCCCACCCCCCGCTGCCTCCGTGCTGTGGCAGGATCCATCTCCATCCCCCCTCATGTGTGTGGGTGTGGCTGTGGCTGGGGCTGTGCGCCTGAATAATGTAGCATGCTTTGTGGCTCAGCCCAGGCCCCGAAAACGGCGCTCATCCTTTCGCCTATTCCAAGCGCTGATTGCGCCACTGGGAGGCGGCGAACTTTTTAAAACGCGAAAAGGCGACAAACGAAGGGGGGGGGGGCACCAGGCAGTCACCCTTCCCTTCCACTGACAGGCACATGGCAAACGCCATAAACAGCCACCACAATTGGAAGACTGCCATGGCAGCCAGGCAGGGAGCCATCGAGCCAGGACCTGCCTGGTTTTTGGCCATCGAATGGGAGTGGGGCGGGGAGTGGGGGTGGGACTCCTGTCTGTCCCTGTGCTGCCATCGCTTTTCTCATCATAATCACACCCTTTTTGGCCCTTATTCGCCCCAATGTTTACTTTAATAATGTCGCGGAAAATTCCCATTTTCAATTTCGTCGCACAAGTCAATGGAGCCACGAGGCCGGGCTGCCAGAGGAGATCCACACTGGCACTGTGGGGCCAAAGATGCCAGAAAGCCCTCGAAAATTCCACAGATCACTGATCACAGATTTGCTGCTTGAACCAGAAGGAAACAACAACAAAAGGGAGACTCTGGAGAGGCTTTTTCGATACATTTCAGGTGCAAGGAAACACGCTTTGAAGCCCCTGAAAACGCCTTGTTTTCCAATCAACAACAAAAGCATTGCTTGGCCAAACAAAAGGGCAAGGAAAACACTCGAATTTCTTGTCCAAATTCTGCTGATATTTTACATGCACCGCAGAGAGTATTTTTGTGTACATTTTCTCGAGCATTTATTGAATTTCCAAACGGAAGTCTCAGCAATTTGCGTGCCTTTTTGCACCCCTCGCCCACCCCCGAAAAGGTATCGAATACAACCCTTAGATACGCCGCCAGCCATTCCACAGCCATCTTCGATTCCTTTCAACAATTAGAAATTCCTCGAAATCAGAATGCAATTCGGATACAAAAAATGCAAAAATTGTTCATTGAAATCTCCATTTTCCTGCATTCTCCTCCACTCTCCTCCACTCTCCTCCACTCTCTCCACTCTCTCCATTCTCTCCACTGTTCTGCGACACAATGGCCATA